ATTTTAAAGAACAAAACAACAACTTATTATAGTTGTATGGATCCAGTTTGCCAATTACATTCCAAAGGTACTTTGGGGGTATAATAGTTGTATATACCAGTAACATTAGCAGTGTTGATTTCATTCATTTGTCTGGTTCTTTTTGTTTGTTTATTCTTCTCTCTTTCTCTTTCTCTCTTTGATTCTAGACAGGAAATAACGGTTATTTCTGTTTCATGCCATGTGCTAAGCCTGGTTTTGAGGGACAAGAAAGTAAATCCAAGATATGCATGGATCCTAGCAGGCAAGGCCGTGCCTTGTAGTAAAGAAGAATGACATATATTAATCAGTTTAGGAATAATAAAAAAAAAATAATGTAGTAAACTGTCTATAGGCAATCAGAGCAGAAGATGTTGGAAGATATAAGTACTAGAGAAATTTTAAGGAAAGGAATGTGGAACATAATTGTTAGGAAGCATAATTTTTTAAAGCTCTGTGACTTTTTGTTCTGCAAAATATAGTAAATATTTGCTATCAATTTTTTTTTTTTTTTTTTTTTTTTTGAGACAGAGTCTTGCTCTGTCGCCCAGACTGGAGTGCAGTGGCGCAATCTTGGCTCACTGCAAGCTCCGCCTCCCAGGTTCACACCATTCTCCTGCCTTAGCCTCCTGAGTAGCTGGGACTACAGGTGCCCACCACCAGACCTGGCTAATTTTTTTTTGTATGTTTAGTAGAGGCAGGGTTTCACCATGTTAGCCAGGATGGTCTCTATCTCCTGACCTTGTGATCTGCCCGCCTTGGCCTCCCAAAGTGCTGGGATTACAGGGGTGAGCCACCGTGCCCAGCCTCAAGTATGTTTTTTGCTTTGCTTTTGTCTTTTTAAAAGTAAAGCCCTTAATAAAGGACCTTTTATAAAATACAAGATTAATCAAGATTAGTGTAATATAAGCTTACAGCTGGATAAATACATTTCTGTTGTCATTTCTTAGCCTTCCAAAGACAGTATTTAAAAATTCACTTGGCAAACCGTTGCAAAGGGTTTTAGGCTTTGAAAGAGTATAAAGGTTCAAGGAATGCAGACATACCTTTGCAACAGATTATTATAAACATCATATGCTAAGCATCTAATATAGTGTTCATTATCTTGCAAACAACTTGGTAAATGATTGCTAGCTCATTTAGCAGGGTTATAAAGGAAGTGTAAACAATTTCTAGCTATTTCTTGTAAAATGTATTGTGCCCTGATCATTTGTACTTTGCCCAACCTTTGCCAGATTATAAACTCTACAAGAAAAATTCACATTTGTTCAAATAACCTTTTTCTCCCAGGAAAGTTTAATTTATCAAAGCAAGTTTCACTCTGCACAAATAGTCACGGAGGATACTTTGGAATGAGTCTAGTGAGACTGCGTAACTCTGCATCTCCTGTAACCCAGTGTTAAATTTTCAAAGGCTTCTTGTCCCTAGTGGATTGTAGGAGATGTGCCTGGCATGAGAAGGAGGAAGTGGTGAATGGATGAGTAGTACCAGCGTGTATCTGAGAGGAATATAAAGAGTCATTATTATCCTCTTTCTGGTTGCTGTTGCAGAAATTCCTAGGAGTAGAAAACAGTGGAGTGCTTTTATTTTGTTTTTTGAAAGGGTAGCTTGGTCTTATAAAATGTTTAATGCTGATAACATTTTTCATAGGCCAGAAATTCAGCCTGCTGTTTGCCTATAGACCTTAGTAAAAGCTAATTAATGATTCAGACCCCAGGCGTCAGCAAACTTCATCTTTGTACCAGATAATAAGTAATTTAGGCTTTGCAGACCATTGGTCTCTGTTGAACTACTCAGCTCTCAGCTGTGCCATTGTAGTGCAAAAGCAGTCATAGACAATATGTAAACAAATGAATGTGCCTGCATTCCCATAAAACTTTATTTACAAAAACAAGCAGCAGGCCAAATTTGCCTATGGACGTTTGTTTACCAGCCTCTAAGAGTTTCACTGGCATCATTCAGTTTTTCTAAAGACCTGTTTCTTGGCTTACTCCTTATTCACCAATCTGGGTTCCAGTGTAACTGATGTGAACTTGGATGTTGAACTAAAAGAGATGGGTCCACTTTCATATATTTGATATTTATCAGACTGAGATAAAAATGGAAGTAGAGACACAAAATCTAGAAAAGACACTGTCTTTGACATTAAAGAGCTAAATATCTAGACATTTGGTCAGTCTTGATGAGTAAAAGCCATTGGGACAGTTTGAACTTGTTAAGCAATTCCAGTCTTAAAAGTTTTTGCACATCTAGTTAGAAGTGTTCAAACCAGTATAACATGCAAGTCCCATGATGTATTAGGGACACTCTTCAAGTAACAGTCAGAGAACTTGAGTTCTAGTCCTGCTTGTCCAGATAGTTAGCAAGCATGTGACCAGCCAGAGCCTCTTTCCTTACATGTGAAATAAGCATATGAGAGCTTGCCCTGTTTCTTTGATAGGATTGCTGGGAAACCAAATGAGAATATCCAGCTAAAGTAGACACACTCTGACACACTTGAGCCCATTACCAAGTTTTACACCTTCTTTCTAGTACTTATTGATAACCCTAATTATCTGATTGATGGTGGAGACCCTCATATCTGACATGGTCAGGACTAATAGTTGGTCAGTTCATCAATTATATAAATAAACATTTTAAAAATACCTGCTTTAAACATTTTTAAACAAAAATTTAAAATAAAACATTTAAAACTTTTTTTTTTTTTTTTTTTTTTTTTTTGAGACGGAGTCTCACTTTGTCGCCCAGGCTGGAGTGCAGTGGCCGGATCTCAGCTCACTGCAAGCTCCGCCTCCCGGGTTCACGCCATTCTCCGGCCTCAGCCTCCCAAGTAGCTGGGACTACAGGCGCCCGCCACCTCGCCCGGCTAGTTTTTTGTATTTCTTAGTAGAGACGGGGTTTCACCATGTTAGCCAGGATGGTCTCGATCTCCTGACCTCGTGATCCACCCGTCTCGGCCTCCCAAAGTGTTAAAACATTTTTAAACTTAAAATATATCAATGTACATTGCGTTGCTAATCTTTTGATGAAGGTTCAAGTCTTTTTCTTAGAGTCTGGATTCTCTGATTGGAGTTCTGCTTCCTGTAGCTTGAAAAATGGGAAGATGCATCATGTACATTTCCCAATGTATTTATGCAAATTGACTGAGAACTTAGACATTTGGAAAACAATCTGAATGCAGAATATGTCTAGATTTTTACATGTTTGAAAACCAATATTTTGGCCGGGCACGGTGGCTCATGCCTGTAATCCCAGCGCTTTGGGAGGCTCAGGCAGGTGGATCACGAGGTCAGGAGTTCAAGACCAGCCTGGCCAACATGGTGAAACCCTGTCTCTACTAAAAATACAAAAAATTAGCCGGGTGTGGTGGCCTGCGCCTGTAATCCCAGCTACTCAGGAAGCTGAGGCAGGAGAAACATTTGAACCTGGTGGGAGGCGGAGGGTGCAGTGAGCTGAGGGTGCAGTACCACTGCACTCCTGCCTGGGCAACAGTGAGACGCCGTCTCAAACAAAACAAAACAAAACAATATTTTAGAGCTGTTGCACCTACCCTATTCAACAATAATTTTTAGCAAACTGATTGAGCCATTTTAAAGCATTCAAATGTTTTCTCTTTGGTAGTCTTCTAAAATACATATAGCCCTGGAAACTTTCTAAATTTTTTTTTCAGTTATTAAAAATTTGTGAATTTGCTTATCATATCACTTTCTTCTATGACAAAAAGACTCGAAAAGATGTAAGAGCTGAACGGATTAGAAAAAGGAGAGGTGTGGTTGGTGTGAGGCATTTTGACAGGGAATTACCAAAGGCATATTTGCACTGTTACACAATTTTGGCAAGTGTTAATTCTGTTGAACGGGAAAATCAATAATGGTTTTTTTGTTGTCTGTCTTTCTTTTTTTTTCTTTTCTTTTCTTTTCCTTCCTTTCTTTCTTTCCTTCCTTCCTTCCTTCTTTCCTTTTCTTTCCTTCCTTCCTTCTTTCTTTTCTTTTCTTTTCCTTTCTTTTTTTGAGACAGAGTCTCGCTCTGTTGCCCAGGCTGGAGTGCTGTGGCACGATCTCAGCTCACTGCAACCTCTGCCTCCTGTGTTCAAGCAGTTCTCCTGCCTTGGCCTCCGAAGTAGCTGTGACTATAGGCACATGCCACCAGGCCTGGCTAATTTTTGAATTTTTAGTAGAAATGGGATTTCACCATGTTGGCCAGGCTGGTCTCGAACTCCTGACCTCAAGCTATCTGCCCGCCTCGGCCTCCCAAAGTGCTGGGATTACAGGCTGAGCCACCATGCCTGACCAATGATGGGGTTTAAAGATAAATAAAGCATATTTGAAAGTATATTCCTGATCTTAACAGGGTCTAAATATCTTTTTTTCCCTTCACAAAATATCTTGAGGTGCTATTTTCCAGACAGAATTCTGAGATGCATGGATAACCCATGGTTTTGGCTTAGTATAAGTGCTTTTATTCTCTTATGCTAGTTTGTGTGTTCTCTTGTTCCGTTTTATTGAGGCTCTCTGGTAGAAGTGCTATGTCCTGTTTTGTCTGCAAAATGTGGCAAAAAAAAAAAACTGGCCAAGAGGATTCCAAGCCTGTCTGAAGGTAAACATGCTGTTAGTGGTTGGGCATGAGATCTCAGGCAGAAGGAGCAAAAGACCTCAAAACATCAAGATGTTTTAGAGTTCTTCATTCAACAGATACTGAGTGTCTGCCCAGAGAGCATCTGTGCTCAATGCTAGGAATCAGCACTGAACGTGGCGTGGTTGGAGTCTCAATTCCAATACCTTATACAAAGAGCTGTTTACTGCCTATAAACCTATCATGAGCTGTATTTTTCTCCTGTAAGTATTGGGTTTATTTGCTTCTACTTCCAGGCCAACACATATGAAAAGTACTGGCCATTTTACCAGAAGCATGGAGGGCATTATTTTCCCAAAGATCATTTGAAAAAGGCTGTTACTGAAATTGAAGAAATGTGCAATATTTTAAAAATGGAAGGAGTGACAGTGAGGAGGCCTGACCCCATTGACTGGTCATTGAAGTATAAAACTCCTGATTTTGAGTCTACGGGTAAGTGATGTCAGATAACTAAACTGCCAGTGTCTGAATTTTCAGTGTCTTTCTTAATGTGTAGGGGGAAAGCTCCAAAAAATTTCTTGGAGAGTCCTTTGCTTTGCTAGTTCTTGAAAACTTTAAAGATTTATTTAGGAATGGTTTGGTCCATGTTGATATGATTAAGATGTATACATTCCAAACTCCATTCCATCTAGTGGAATCTCCGTGAAATAACAAATTTTCCTAAACTTTATGGTCATTTCCTTACATAAGAACAGTGGATTCATTTAATTTTCCTCAAGAACAGAAATTAAAAGGGGAATAGAAACATTTCCATTTTATTTTTAACTGACATTGCTGCATGACTGTTCTTGTGCCTTAGGTCACTGTTCTAATTTCTAGTTTTAGATTGATCCTTGGCTCAGTGTTTATCTTGTGATGCTGATGGTCCTTTAAGAGCTCTGTTTCGGTATAGCAAGAAAGGAGCTTACAAATGGTGAAAGCTTGGTGGTTCAACATCTCTTTGTTACAAAGACTTTATTCCTTCACTTTTTTTCTTTTCTTTTTTTTCTTGGCTTCCTTACCACCACACAGAATTCATGTGAACAATCTAGTATGTATTATTCAAATTTTTTGCCATTTTCATATATACATATACACATGTATTTTTACTAGTTTTTTTTAACCAAAAGAAGAGGTCATATTATATAGACTTTTTTTTTTTTTTGAGACAGAATCTCACTCTGTTGCCCAGGCTGGAGTGCAGTGGTACAATCTCCGCTCACTGCAGCCTTGGCCTCCTGGTTCAAGTGATTCTCCTGCCTCAGTCTCCCGAGTAGCTAGGATTACAGGCACATGCCATCATGCCTGGCTAATTTTTTTTGTATTCTTTTAGTAGAGACGGGGCTTGACCATGTTGGCCAGGCAGCTCTTGAACTCCTGACCAGCCCGGTCAGGATCAAGTGATCCGCCCATCTTGGCCTCCCAAAGTGCTGGGATTACAGGCATGAACCACTGCGCCTAGCCCTATATAGACCTTTTTTGTCTTGGAAATTAACACTGCTGAAGTTGTCATGGAATTTTTTGGTCTGACAGGTTTATACAGTGCAATGCCTCGAGACATCCTGATAGTTGTGGGCAATGAGATTATCGAGGCTCCCATGGCATGGCGTTCACGCTTCTTTGAGTACCGAGCGTACAGGTCAATTATCAAAGACTACTTCCACCGTGGCGCCAAGTGGACAACAGCTCCTAAGCCCACAATGGCTGATGAGCTTTATGACCGGGTGAGTCCCTAATAATAGGCTAGCTTATTACTAACTTTTCTAACTGATCTACAAAGAGTAAGATAGAGATTCTCTGATACCTTTTACATATTATGCATTTTAGAAAGAGAAAACATCATCTTATTTTTAAGAAGTGATTATTTTATGATGAATATGATAAGAGTAAATGATCCTATGATAGTAATAATAATTGCTAACACTTTTTGGTGCTTACCTTCTTCTGGGTCCTGGGTTAAACCCTTTATTTACATCCTCAATCCTGTTTGTTTTTCACAACAACCCTAATGATACTGTGGTATCATTCCATTAGAGGGGGAAAAACTTGCCTACAGGTGTACCACTATTCATTAGTGGAACCAGAAAAGTCACTAGACTGAAGTTCACTTTTCTTCTTCTAGAAAAAGAACCTGGTCTACAGTCCAAATTCACAGTAAAATGAAATGTATGTCCCTTATTAAATCAGTTACCATTTGATCTTTTATAGAAAAAAAACTGAAAATCAAAATAGCTTCTGGGTTTAAAGACAGAAATAATGAATTAGTTTGGCCACTCCCAATCAAATTTGGCAGGGGAAACATGGCATCTCATTTTATGGTATGAGTTAGGCTCGGGACCAAATTCCTTTTCTAAAAGAACAGAATGACTTCATCCTGTTTACTTTCCGTACGGGTCATGGAATATTCTCAGAATCAGTTACTGCCTCTGTATCACTTTTTTTTTTTTTTTTTTTTTTTGGAGACAGAGCCTTGCTCTGTTGCCCAGACTGGAGTGCAGTGGCATGATCTCAGCTCACTGCAGCCTCTACCTCCCAGGTTCCAGCAATTCTCCTGCCTCAGCCTCCTGGGTAGCTCTGATGACAGGTACATGCCACTATGCCTGACTAATTTTTGTATTTTTAGTAGAAACGGGATTTCACCATGTTGGTCAGGCTGGTCTCGAACTCCTGACCTCAGGTGATCTGCCCACTTTGGCCTCCCAAAGTGCTGGGATTACAGGCATGAGCCATCTCACCTGGCGTGTACCATTTTTTTCTAAGTACATCGTGCCCCCTCATCCTTAGGGGACACGTTCCAGACTCTCAGTGGATGCTGATACTGAACTCTATATATTTTGTTTTTTCCTATACATATATACATACCTATGATGAAGTTGAATTTACAAATTAGGCACAGTAAGACTAACAACAATAATGAATAAGAAAATGGAACAATTATATAAATATACTTTACTTAAAGTTAGGTGAATGTGGTCTGTTTCTCTTAAAATAATGTTTTGGGACAACAGTTGACTGCAGGTAACTGAAACCATGGAAAGTGAAATCATGGGTAAAGGAGGACTATTGTATCAGGAAATTACTGTAATGCTAGTTTGTTGTTTTATTGTTGTTTTGGTTTATTTATCATGGACCCGCTTCATTCCCAGGCATGTTTTAGTCTAGAACTGAGTAGTAATATTTTGGAAAATGATGTTAAACTAATTTTCTTAGTACTGTATGCCTTTTAAATAGTTTTCTCATGATCCAATGCATTGTTTGTGTTCATTCTTGTTCCAATTAGGATTATCCCATCCACTCTGTAGAAGACAGACACAAATTGGCTGCTCAGGGAAAATTTGTGACAACTGAGTTTGAGCCATGCTTTGATGCTGCTGACTTCATTCGAGCTGGAAAAGATATTTTTGCACAGAGAAGCCAGGTAAATGCAGGCTGCCTCTGAAATTTCACACTATATTATTGTATTCTTTACTTCCAAATTAAAATATTTTCATCCTAAATTTTTTTCACCTTGAATATTTTTAGTTTTCTAGACGTAGAACCAAATATTTATTGATTGTATGTCTTTCTTTTGTTTTCAGGTTACAAACTACCTAGGCATTGAATGGATGCGTAGGCATCTTGCTCCAGATTACAGAGTACATATCATCTCCTTTAAAGATCCCAATCCCATGCATATTGATGCTACCTTCAACATCATTGGACCTGGTACTGTGCTTTCCAACCCTGACCGACCATGTCACCAGGTAAGAGATTTCTCGGGACTCTGGAAAAGCAACAGAATCTAGTAACTAAAATCATTGACACTTTTATTTTAAGCACTTCCATGGTTCCTAATGGTTCTGAATGACAGATTCAGCAGGACTCAACATTATTATGATCAAACATTGGATTCCTTATGGTTTATTACAAGATGTCCACCATGCAGAAATATACGTAGTTGACACAATAATTAGTATGGGATCATCAGACTTTGGCTGCTTGCTGTTGTCAAAGTCTCAGATTTGTGCATATGTGTGTATTGTTATCAAACAGGGTGACATTATCTCATAACTTGCAACAGTGGTTCCACAGCAGCAAATTTTAGACAAGATGATCCTTGCATGGGCAGGGCAATGCCACTGGACAGTGGTGGTCTTCCCTCTACGGTGGGTTAGGCTCCCTTTGGCCAGCCCTGCTTTGTAGGGAGAAGCAGAGCCACTGAACTGCAGCTGGTCTATCCCTTTCACCTGCAGCCTCCTACTTTCTGTCCACAGCCCCCTACTTCTAGTTAGGTGATGAGTGATTTTCTGTTATTTGCAAGATTGCAGTACAACTTTTAAAAACCACTGTTATGCTGTGTCACTGTTCATTTCTGTTTTTTATTTTTAGACCCGATGACCATGACTACTTATTCATTTCATTTTATTATCATTTATTCATGTAGTTAGTGGTTATGTGAACACAGGGATGGCTGAGTTGCAAAAGGTCACTAAGGACAATATGGTTCTTTGAGAATGCATAGCTAACATCTGTCTTTATACCATGGTCCTAGATACAAAATGATGGACAAGAAGTAGAAGGACTGTGGGTTTGACGTCACATTTTTGTTTTCTTGTAACTAAATAGGAAATTTTTCAATTTTTAAAATGAGAATTTCTAAGAAAAGTATCTTTGGTTTTTTAAGACTCTGAAACCAGAGAAAAGTATAAGACTGTCTTTAAAAGCTTCAATATTTCTGTTACTTTTTAACTTTAATCTGGGGATTTTATGTACATTTTTAATTAGGATTTAGACAAAATCACCCAAATGTTTAGAAATTTTAATTTCTTTATTTTGGAAGCTGAGAAGACAGCTTCTCAAAAAGAATTATTAGGGTTATTAGAGACTAAGAATAATAATAGTATATGTGAATTTAACAGTTTTGGGGGGTTTTTTCGGTCTTACAGATTGATCTTTTCAAGAAAGCAGGATGGACTATCATTACTCCTCCAACACCAATCATCCCAGACGGTATGTTTACTTTCATACACTGATAGACTAAAATAATGACTTTAGTGACCAAGGATCTTTTGCCTATAGAGAGGAGCCCGATGTTAGCAGCTTAGAGAATGTGCTTCCTCAGTAAGGTGTAAAGTGGTGCTTGGGACTATGAGCATCAGAAAAAGGCTGGGACTTGTGTTTGCAACTTTTTCTTCCATAGAAAATGAAGTGAGGAGAAGACAGAATAAGACAACATCACATAAAGCAAGATAATGACTTTTTTTTTTTTTTTTTGAGACAGTGTCTTGCTCTGTCGCCCAGGCTTAAGTGCAGTTGTGCATTCACAGCTCACTGCAGCCTCAGACTCCTGGGCTCAAGTGATCTTTCCACTTCAGCTTTCTAAGTAGCTGGGGCTATAAGTGCAGGCCACTATGCCCAGCAAGTTATTTTTTGTTTGTTTGTTTGTAGAGATGATATCTTGCTGTGTTCCCCAGTGAGACACCATCTCTGGGCAATAGTCTCAAACTCCTAGGCTCAAGGAATCCTCCTGCCTCAGCCTCCCAAAGTGCTAGGATTATACCATGCCCAGCCAAGATACGGCTTTTAAAAGAAAACAGGGTGAAATTCAAATGTATAATGAGTACAGATTGATTCATACCATTTATAGATAAATTGTTTTAAGATTAAAATAAGCGTTCACATGGAAAGTGAACTACTGAAAGAATTGAGCTGTCACTTTAATATTCTTCACTTGTAAATCCTTGCTTTAAACCAAAATCATAGCAGACGTGGTTTAACAGTTGTTGCTGTTTTTAGATCATCCACTCTGGATGTCATCCAAATGGCTTTCCATGAATGTCTTAATGCTAGATGAAAAACGTGTTATGGTGGATGCCAATGAAGTTCCAACTCAAAAGATGTTTGAAAAGCTGGGTATGTACAACAAATGAAACATGTTGTCATACATGAAAATGTTAAAGGAGAAGAACTAAAGAAATGACATGCTAGGTTTGATAAATGGTTTATCTAATTCAATTTTGATTCCTTTTAGAGGCACCAAGTTATTATTTCACAGAAAGTCAGTATTTTTATTTTCAACACACGTAGCCCCCAGAAGTTGGAGATGCATCCTGAACTCCTGAGACACCCCCTTAGCAATAAGTTTATAAATCTTATGTGACTTAGCCAGCCTCCTGGTGCCCATGTGTGGAAAACCACCCCTTTGCAGGTGAGCAGATAGCTTGGCCAGCCCTTCTTCAAATAAGAAATCATTGTGGGTCCTTTAAAAGTGTCCTGTCATCATATATTTTAAAGGACTCATAAGTGTACAGATGCAGAAGTGACTTTTATGTGTAATAAGCATAGTTAACAAAGTAGTGAAACGCAAGAAAGTGTGTCAGTAAATCATTCAGTTTTGAACTGAAGAGCAGGACTGGGCTTTACTTAAGTAGGAGTTTACTTATCCTGATATTCAAAATTTAGACCAGTGATTCTAGTATTATTGAGAAAAATGTTGAAGGAAAGGATTTTCATATGAGCTGTTATAAAGATGTGTGTGTGTGTGTGTGTGTATGTGTGTGTGTGTGTGTGTGTTTTGAGACAGAGCCGTGTCACCCAGGCTGTAGTGCAGTGGCATGACCTCGACTCACTGCAACCTACACTTCCCGTGTTCAAGCGATTCTCCTGCCTCAGCCTCCTGAGTAGCTGGGATTACAGGCATGCACCACCATGCCTGGCTAATTTTGTATTTTTAGTAGAGAGTGACTCGGCCAGGCTGGTCTCAAACTCCGACCTCAAGTGATCCACCCACCTCTGCCTCCCATAGCGTTGGGATTATGGGTGTGAGCCACCATGCCCGACTAGGAAAGTCTTTCTGAATGGCTCATGCCACCTTCCTCTCCCTGGCTATACCAATGGACCCTTAGTGACTTTGTAGCCTATCCTCCTCTCAAAATAATTGGCTTCTTGAGGAAGAAGAATAGATTTTCTTTTTAAAACCCCACTATGTCTAACACAACAGATTCTTCCTAAATACCATTGGTTAAATAGGCCACGCACATCATAGCCTTGTTATTACAGATGGTACCAGATTAAACTGATTGCTGGATTTGCTTTGGTACCTGTATAACCATACAAACCCAGATATTAAAACACCAGCTGTGTTCCATTGTTTCCTTATGGTGGCCTGGTGAAGTTAATCTGTCTCAGTAAACTCTCCTTATATGTGAATATGTAAAGTCAACTTTTCAGGTCAGCTAAATTTTGCTTTGCCTATTAAATTAACATGGTAAAATTAGAAACAGTCTGACAAAGTAGTTAACGTGTAATTCTAAAAGGCCTTGAGATTTTAGTACTTGACCATTTTGAACACTTGATAGGTCTACCTGCTCAGTCTATTGACTTGTGAATAGTCAATAAAACAAAACTTCAGAGTTCTCTGTTGACTTTTTGGAGATTTTATATTAGCAGATGAAATATAGTTGGTGAAAATAAAATTGGAAGAGAAAAGACTATTCTGGATTGGGTATCCTTAAGGATTAGAACCACAAGATTCCTCCAAATCTGTAGGCCTACTTTCTCTAGGAGAATCTTCATGTTAGTCCATCTAACTGACCTCATCTCTCTTTCAATGCAGGTATCACTACCATTAAAGTTAACATTCGTAATGCCAATTCCCTGGGAGGAGGCTTCCACTGCTGGACCTGCGATGTCCGGCGCCGAGGCACCCTGCAGTCCTACTTGGACTGAACAGGCCTGATGGAGCTTGTGGCTGGCCTCAGATACACCTAAGAAGCTTAGGGGCAAGGTTCATTATCCTGCTTTGAAAAGTGCATGAACTGTAGTGCTTTAAACAATCATCTCCTTAACAGGGGTCGTAAGCCTGGTTTGCTTCTATTACTTTTCTTTGACATAAAGAAAATAACTTCTGCTAGGTATTACTCTCTACTCCTAAAGTTATTTACTATTTGGCTTCAAGTATAAAATTTTGGTGAATGTGTACCAAGACAAAAATTAGTCACCTGAGTAACTTGGCCACTAATAATTAACCATCTACCTCTGTTTTTAATTTTCTTTCCAAAAGGCAGCTTGAAATGTTGGTCCTAATCTTAATTTTTTTTCCTTTTCTATAGACTTGAGAATGTTTTTCTCTAAATGAGAGAAAGACTTAGAATGTACACAGATCCTAAATAGAATCAGATAATCTCTTTTTTTTATAAAGGAGAGAAAGACTTAGAACATACACGGATCCTAAGTAGAACCAGGTAATTGTCTCTTTCTAATAAGGAATTTGGGTAATTTTTAATTTTTTGTTTTTTAAAAAATAACCTAGACTATGCAAAACATCAAAGTGAATTTTCCATGAATGTTTTTAATATTCTCATCTCAACATTGTGATATATGCTACTAAAAACCTTTTCATATACATCTTACCTCATTTCAAGTGAATTATTTTAATCTTTTCCTCTCTTTCCAAAAATTTACAGGAATGTTTAGTGTAATTGGATTTCGCTATCAGTTCCCATCCTTAAGTTTTGATATTCAATATCTGATAGATACACTGCATCTTTGGTAATCTAAGATTTGTTTACAAATGTGCAAATTATTTACAGCATAGACTTTATAAGCATTAAAAAAAACTAATGGAGGTAAAACCTATATGCGATGTGAAATAATTTTAGTGTTGATACTGTATGTGTATTTTTATTCTAATAAACTTTTGTGTTCCAGACTGAATTTGGCATTGGTCTAGTCATTTTAGTGTAAGTAAATTATAGGAATGTGGCTCTTGATACAGAATTCTGATTCTCTAAAATAATTAACATATTCATCACAAAGTAAACCTAATACTTACATTCAGAAATGCTTAGCAAAGTCAGATTTTTGTTTATTAATTCATTCATTCATTCAAAAATATCTGAATATCTTCTGAGTATAAGGAGTAATCCTAGGCCCCGGAAAGGAAGAGTCTCTGTTCTTAAGTTGCTGAATGTGTTTTTTGTGAAAAATCTGCATAGATTGTATACTTTGAAATGAGTCACAGGTTTCAACCATACCCTTACTAACACCTTTAACTCCTTTACATCCTGGTGTTCCTTTTACATCCATTACAGAAACACCTATTAGTCCTATACATGGACTGAATCCTGCTTGAGAAATCTATCCAGTTGTGTGGATTGGTGCAAATTAGGGTATATATTTGCAGGCCTAAATACTACCCGACAATTCTGCTACACAGTTCTCTGTGTCCTCCTCAGTAGCTATTTCAAACCTTCACTACATTTTCTTAGCTGATCATATTGTTTTATTTTTCACAGAGGAAATAGAGACCATCAGGCATTAGTTCCTTCAGTTTACAATCCCCTATAGGTTTATATACATTTGCCTATTCTGGTTAAGTTTCTTTCTCCTTTCCTTTCCAGTAAGTAGTTCTCCCTTATCCTCAGGGGATATGTTCCAAGATCCCCGGTGAATGCCTGAAACTATGGGTAGTACCAAACCCTATGTGTACTATGCCTTTTCTTATACATGCAGACCTATGATAAAGTTAATCTGGTGCAACACATGGCTGTCAGTTGGGAACATGTTTTCTGTTCGTGTCTTGCAAACAAAAATGTAATGCCTTTTCCACCTTAACTAAGCACTTATCAACGCACTGTGACCATAACTTTTGCCATGTGTAGTGCGACAGCAAAACTAGCATGAATTTCTTTTTCCTTTATCACAACTTCACAGATAGGAGATTCGTTCTTACCATGGATCTCAGCAACCTCAACATGCAACTTTTTCTTTTCTTGTTGAGAACTTTCACCTTTCCCTTAAAGAAAGCCACTTAGGCTTTTCTTTGGTATGTCCGAATTGCCAGCATCAAGACTTGCATTTGAGTCATTATTCAGTAAAATAAGGTTACTTGAATACCAGGACTGTGGTTTGATAACAAGGTGGCTGCTAAGCGACTGAAGGACGGGTGGTGTATACAGTGTGATATACTGGACGGGAGGATTCACGTCTCAGGTGGAGGGAGTGGAGTGGGCCAGTGCAAGATTTCATCACGCAGCTCAGAACAGCGTGCAATTTAAAACTTATGAATTATTTATTTCTGGATTTTTCTATTTAATATTTTTGGACCATGGTTGACCACTGGTAACTGAAACTGCTGAAAGTGAAACTTTGGACGAAGGGATTACTATACTGCCTAAGCTTCCAGAGAGAAAAATCAGGCCTTCATCTCATTGCATGCATTTGCTTCTCAACCCTGTATAAAGGGTCACTTCTCTCACTGCTACAGAAAAAGAGGTGAACCTTCTGACCAAGTCTAATCCACACAACCATCCTTTGATCCTAATCTTTGTCGTTTTTTAGAATTTGCTACATCAATTATCTTTCTTGTAACTCCAGCACCACCACCGCCCTGTGTGTGTGGGAGGGAGTTTCCACCTCAGAAAATAGTCATGCTTAAAACAATCCACAGTGTGGTCTACGTTCCTGATCCGTGATCAAGGCCTTCTCGTGACAAAACGATGACTCCTAGTTGGAGAGCTACCACTTGTCTTGCAATATCATATAACCAAATAGATTATCAAAGTGTATATATAGATTCCACACATTTTTAATAACCAGTTGGTTTGGACTTCTACAGATGGCTGAACCGACCAAAAATTCTAGCATACACTTTCTCATATATTTGAATTAACTTTACAGCAAGTCATTTGCCTACTTAATCTGTAGCAGTGTGTACTTTGTAGTGTGTATCTGTTGAGTGATTATAATTATTGTTGCTGAAGTCAAAATAATGCTTCAGGCCAATCCTGCTCCATAGGGATAATATGCTGAAGGGAATTTAGTTCAATATCCCAATATATTTGATTGTTAATATTATAAGTTTATTAGCTTCTAAAATAATTTTACCTCAGGTGATCCGCCCGCCTCAGCTTCCCAAAGTGCTGGGATTTACAGGCATGAGCACGTGGTTTTATTCCTTCCACTTTTCTATTAATCCATTACTTTGAGGATGAAAAGTAGTCTGATAAGCCTACTGAATGTGATGTATTGGCCTCCAATCCTGTGGAAGTCTTATAGTTAATTATAAATGGTATCATAAAGGAGGAAACCTTCATGGGATTTTATAGGAAGTTGGAGGGAACCACAACTGTTCTCTTCAAACTGCCTAGGGTGTACAAATCCCAAGGCAGATACCAAGGCTGGAAGTAGTGTGAGGTCAGTGAAGTACTCACCATGTCCACAAAATTTAGGAGGACCAAAAAAAACCTCAGTAAGCCAGATAAGTATTAATGCACTATTTTTAAAGATCAAAATTAATGAAAAAATCCATGATGAACAAAATATCAAAATGTTAAATGAAGACAAGATCAGTATTACTGATGTTTCTTTTGCCTCGGGCTCCACTGTGGCTTGACACGGCACTGACTGTACTCAGGAACCAGAGGTGAAGTGGAAGTAAACCAGCCCTTGCGGTCTGCTACCCAGTGCCATTCAAATTTTTCAGGTAGCCCAGAAAACCTCTAGCCTAGGATTGATGATACCTGATTGCGCTTGAACTCCAAGATGTCCGCTTGGCCCTCTTCCAAGTGTACTTTACTTTCTGTTCATTCCTGCTCTAAAGCTGTTTAATAAACTTTCATTCCTGCTCAAAAAACAAACAAAAAACGGTGATACCTGATTGCTGGCATCCCCGAGTGCCTGAAAAAAATAAGCAAAATTCTTTTTTGAAAAAATGTAACATCCATCTAGGCTTCAAATTATTTCTGACAATAAAATCTCAAATACAGAGTCCTCCACACAGTCAAATACAGACAGATGCAGGAGGAGAAAATATCCCTCTAGCAAAACAACATTCAAAAGACACATCCACAGGGACTCCAGATACCAGAGTATCAGACACAGAATATAAAGCATCGACCCACAGTGAAACTCCAATAGGTATTTCTCCCCTAATCCTCACCCCCAAGTCCTAGGCAACCAATAACCTACTTCCTGTCCTTATCATTTTGTCTATTCTGGACATTTCATGTAAATGTAATCATTCAATAAGTGGTCTTTGTGATGAGCTTCTAAAGCTTAGCAAAATATTTTCAAGTTTTATTCATTCTGTAGCCTGTATCAGTACCTCACGTATTCTTATGGCCAAATGAAATTCCACCGTATAGATATACACATTTTATTTATCTATTCATCAGTTGCTGAATATTTAGGTTATTTCCACTTTGGGGATATGATAAGGCTGCTGTGAACACTCACACACAGGTTTCTGCATGGGCATATGTTTTCACTTTTCTTGGGGTATATACCTAGGAGTGGAATTTCTGGGTCATGTGGTAACTCTAGGTATGACTTACAGAAAAAAAGTTATATTAAAAAAGTAATAAAAATAAATATAAGCCCACTAATATACCAAACCAGTGTATGATTTGTATGATTCATTTGTATAATTATTTGTCTAATTTTAGTATGATTTTAAAAAGGCAATGAAAATGACAGGATGAAGTGGTTCCCATGTGAAGACAGACTAAAAAGATTAGAATTCAGTCTAGCAGGTGGAAAGTTGGGGAAGTTACAAAATCCAAATTATTAAAATTGTAATATAGTATCCTGACCAATCAGTTAACTTCTGATTTATTTAACAACTTTCAAAGCACCTCACTAAGGCAATACAACCTTGATTTAAAAAAAAATAGTTCAAGAACTAAATAACAAAGCTACATGGGAAGCAATAAACTCTTGTTTTTCACGAAGCAAATAAGAAGTATACAAGAATATTTATTAATTAACTCTTGAGAACCTACTATATGCTAGGCATCATGCTGGTGCCTTTAAAACATACTTTATCTCATTTGACTGTTCTAAGAAACATCAAGATAGCTATTATTTTCCTTATTAAAGAAGAAAGAAGAAATGGAGATTTAAGTGCTCATGATCAAGTTGCACCTATTTTAACCAATAGTCTTCTCTTAAATTACATCATTTCTTTCCTCCATTTTAGAGCCATATTTTGCAAAAAGATGGCTTATACTTTCCATATTCGTTCTCTCACCTTCAGTTCACCACTCGATCCACTTATATCTGCAGTTTTTCTCACATTGTCCAACTGCTTCCTCTGAGTTCAACAAATAACTGAGAGTTGCAGCGGTTGTTTTTTTTTTTTTGAGAAGAATGCAGTGGCTTGATCCCGGCTCACTGCCACCTCCGCCCCCTGGGTTCAAGCAATTTTGCTGCCTTAGTCTCCCAAAGTGCTGGGATTACAGGCATGAGCCACCATGCCTGGCCCAGTGGCTATTTTCTAGGCTTCATCTTGAAACAATCTTCCATTTACCAAATTATGGCCTGCCATCTGTTTTTAACAGGTCCTTCAAGCTAAATTTTTTTTTTTTACATATTCTAATAGTTGAAACAAAGGAAAAGAAAAATAATATTTCATGATGCATGAAAATGACATGAATTTCAAATTTCAGTGTCCATAAATAATGTTTTTTTGGAACACAGCCACATTTATTCATTTGCACATTGTCCATAGCTACTTTTGTGTTCCAATGGCAGATTGAGTAGTTGTGATAGAGACACTATAGGGTGCTGTCACTGCTTCGCAATGTGACTTGGCACGCCACACATCACAGTGACACAGTTATCACTTGGCAGTGTTTCAAGTGTCTCATGTGTCACTGTACCTATGATGTTTTATTTTTTTATTACCAGTCTATACCCATCATGTCAAAACAGAA